GGTATAAGAAACTTAAATTAAGGCAAAAGGTAGGTAGGTGGGTATGTAGATGAATTAGAGATGAAAGAAAGAAAAAAAAAAAAAACAACAAAAACACACACAAAACAAAAAGTCGCGCAAACAAAAACAAATTTGTACTTCAATTAGAACACGATGAATAATATGTGCGGTCATCAGTTTTGGGCTTCCATTGATGGGGATGATGTAGAAGTAGTAGTACTTGTTGTTGTAAAACAATTTAACCATAAAAATAAATAAATTTGTGTACGCGAGTGTGTGTGCGTTTGTGTATTTGTGGGTCTGTCAGAACATTGACAGAGAAACAAGTGAGTGCACATACGTACATCATCTTCATATGTTAATTTTTGACATGATTGAAATAGGTTTTTTCTTCTTTTCTCTAGCGGGGTGAAGATGATCAGCACATCTGGTCCATGTATATTACAATTAATTGCAAATAAATGATCTTTGGGCCTTTACTGGCGGCCAATATTCTATGAGAACTTTTCCACTTAGCCTGCTTGAAGGGTAGGCATTTTCTATTCAGCCAGGCCAAAGGCGAAAGAAATGTTACAATTAAATAAAATATTGGAAAATTTTGGAGGCAAGGTTATGTGGTGGATATACGAAAATGTAAACCTGTATGGGCCACGTTTTTTCACAATCATATCCTGTAAATATTAAATTTTAACAACTAAAAAAGCAGTCAATTGGGCCGTGACGAACTTTGATTACCCTCCACCATTTGGAAAGAATTGGGGAAATTAAAAAAAAACAAAAACCCGTTGAAAATTCTGTTAAAATCTTAAAAATACCGAATATAGAAAGTCGCCGTTATATTGGGATCTCTACGAAGACATGGACTAGCATAGGCAACTTTTGTCAATATTCAAATACGAAAAAAGTACGGAAAATTATGTCGGCAAAATCATCCAAATACGGAATATAGTGAGATACCGATAAAGGGGGGCTATACAAAGACTTGGACCTGCATAGAAAGACTTTCTGTCACAGACCAATTCTTCAAATACGAAATTTCCAACAATTTCGATGAATATTGTACCTAAAATTGTCAAAATAGCGAATATAGGAAGATACCAGAATGAAGACGGCAGCTACAACAACAGCAACCGCACTGCTCATGTCTTCATGTCTCTGCTTTTAACTCCAAGATCAAAAAGCAAGTGACCTGTATTGATTGGGTCCAAGGAGGAGTAGGTTTGACTGGGAAGTTGAAAATCAATACAAATTGAGGCGGCTACACCATCCAGATCTCAGTAGAGACAAAAAGTCCTGTGGTTTCTTGCGTCTAGTTCTTCAGCTGATCACCGAGTATGGTATTCACTCTGTATTCTGCTATAACTGCTGTGACCGCATCAGAGTAAATACTATTCAGCCCTGCTTCATAGGCCTGTTGATCAAGGAGGTCCATCCATTATATCTCTGTAACTCTCTTCCTCTAGATCATGAAGGTCTCTCCTTACTTGCCTTGTCCAACAGATGGTGATGTTGTTGTTGTAGCAGTGATAACGTGCTCTGTTATTTATAGACTGATTAATCCGGTTCTTCTTCGATGTCCAGGTTTAGGAAATCTGCCAACTTAATGGACTGTAGCCGGAGATCCTCTGGACAAAGTTTAGTAGGCTTGACTGGACAATTGAAAAGATGCGGCCTGTATCGCCCGCTGGCCAGGCGTTCCGCGCATCTTCGTCAATTCGTGTCCAATATGAATTGCCTAGGCAGCCGACGTTGTTCAGTTGCAGTGGATGGGGGTTGGACTCCGAGGATGGCATTCATATTGTAATTGCTAGCTACCTCTGCGCCTGCATCAGTATGAATTCTATTCAGCCCCGCTTAATAGGCTTCAATAGTTAGGGTCTCTCTCTTATATCGCTGGACCTCTCTCTCTCTCTAGATCATGCAGGTCCTTCCTGACACGCCTGGGGGTGGAGGGAGTTCTGTCCACAATATGGTGGAACAGATGGTGATTGGGATGGTTGGGTTTATAACAACAAAGCAAATATTGCATTGCCGGCATTTTATTCGATAAGACCTTCGGAAGGGTGTCATAAGGAGGCAGTCTGTTGCGCTACTTAGGGCGGTGTTCCGGTAGCACTGAATGTGATTCCACTGCCTAACACTTATGCTGGCGGACCACAATGGAGCCGCATACTTTTCCCCAGACTGGCCTATCGTGTTGTGTAATGTAAATAAGGCTTCCTTATCAGCTCCCCAAGTGCTGCCGGCAAGAGACTTGCAAATCTTGTTCGTACTTCTAATCTTATGGCAGATAGCTGTACTAGATGTGTGTGTGTGGCAGTTCCCATAACGGCATTTAAGGTACTATTGGATTTTTATGGAAGGATTTTTCCAATAAGGCTCCCATTGGTTTCCCCTGATCTATAAAAATGTGCTCTTATATTTCCTGTGGAATATGTAATCTAAATAATGCAAAAGGTGGAGTTTTCCAACAAGGTTCAAAACCTGAAAATTCTCATTCTATTCCCTTTGTTTCCATTGAAATCAGATCTAGTTGGAATATGACGACCTCGTTAGGTCATTATATCACAACTAACACAGTGTGTGTGCATGTGTGTGTTCTAATGGTTAATGGGTTTTTTTGAAGTCACCTCATTAAGCATTGCCCTCTGGGCTCCATTAATAACAAACATAATCACTAGGCAAAAGAAGCGCGCCAAATATGGATCAACCTTTTGATGTTTTGTGTTCTTCATTAGCTCCGGGGGCCCAGAGAAAGCGGCGTGGAATGAATGGTATGATAATATGGAGAATAAGCAACAGGTATTTGAAATTATATACTTTTTTGTTGTGGAACATTCCACAAGTACAGGGTGAGATGAAAAAACTGCAACCAACTTCAGACTGCTGTCATTTCAAAGCCACTAGTCCTACAGCTGTTAAAATTATTCCAGTGACAGCTCATTATATTGTTTACATGTGTACACAAGCATTTTGCGGAGAATTTTCCAGAAAAAAAAGTTATTCGTGATGGAATTCAATCGTGATGGTGTGATTTCTTTATATTTGGCTGGAAAACCACAACCACAAGTGGCTATCGTTAGAGCACTCCAGCATTTAAATGTGAATAAATCGTTTGTGTCTCGTACCATGATACTGGTAGCGTAGCCCGACGTCAAGGAAGTCGACGGAAGAAAATAGCAACATCAGCAGATATATTTCGAAAAGTAAAGAAGCGACTTGATCGAATTCCGTGTCGCAGTGGCCGAAAAATGGCTCGTGAGCTGAACATATCGCAATATTCCATTCGGCAAAAATATTGAAAAATGAGCTCGGGGTAGGTAAAGCCATTGAAATTCCGAAAAGTGCAAGAACTTACATCGCACCAGAAAGAAAATAGACTCAAAAGAGCTAAAGAGTTGCTTCGCTTGGCCGAACGAAGTGTTGAACTGCCGAATTTGGTTTTCTCCTCTCCGATGAGAAATCATTCGTTGTCCAGCAGTTTTTAAACCACAACAAAACAAAATGATCCTGTTTACTTGCCAAAGAGGTCAGCTGGAAATTTGCACCTTCGGTTGACCACCAGAACTCAAGCGCCGGACATGGTGATGGTTTGGGCCGCCATAACAGCCGATGGTCACTCTCCGCTCGTATTAATCGACCGACCGTGGCATTAGAATAAATCCCGAATACTTTCGCGAAAATATTCTGGAGGGTGTATTAAAGCCTTGGGCACGCAAACATTTTTGGCCGCAGACCTTGGACAATCCCACAGGACTCAGCACCATCGCACTCAGCACGCGTCGCCCAATAATGGCTACAAAATGGAGTTCTTCGCTTCATTTCCAGCGCACAATGGCCACCAAAATCTCCGGATACAAATCCGTTGGACTATTTTGTCTGGAATATTTTGAAAAGCAAGCTTGGCTCTAAAAAAATACCAAAGTGACGATCACCTCAAGCAAGCGGGAATGGGCCAAAATACCGCGCAGAGCAACATTCGGGCAGCGTGTGACGGTTTCATTGGCCGTTTGAAGGCCATAATTCGTGCCAAAGGTGACCAATTCGAAAAAATCTAAATTTATTCTAAAATTTGATGCTATTTTCCGACATTTTTTGCTTTAATTCGATATAATTAAAAAAATGTAAAAATTATGGCGTTTGACTTTGTTGCAGTTTTTTATCTCACCCTGTAGAAATGAGAAAAATCGCCTTTTCTCCTCCGGCAATCCAATTCAAAATCTATGGATACCATGTAAATATGGCCCCATAACAGAAGAATGGGTATGAGTTACCTCCATACACATATTGAGTTTCAAATTGAAAGTCTTTTTTTTCTTTTGGAATAGTTGGGTGCCCGTATTTCAAATACCCAAAATTTGGTTCAAATTCAAATCATTTGAATTTCGTATCGAAGTTCGGTTTCATTTTCATGCAAGGTGCATCACTCCCACTTGCAAGAAAAATCAAGAGTTCGATATTGAAAACCTTATTTTCATATTAATGGCACACCACACCACTCCATTCCACAACAAAAACAAATACAAAATATTTATTTACAAAAAAAAAAGAAATAAATAAAAAAAAAACCCACACCACCACTCACCATCAAACGATCGACACAAAAGACTAGGAACAACACAATAACAACAACAACAGCAGTGGAACCTATACCACCACACAATACCCAACTTTAAGGTGTTGCTCTTTTTGGATATGTGTGTGGGGGAGCAACCTTTACATTGTTGTTGTTATTATTGTGATTTTGTTGTTAATGACGTTTAAAAGGGAACTAATAAATGAATGGATGGTTTGACGGGTAGGTCGGTCGGTCATTGGTATGTGGATTTCATGTCAATCCCCCCAAAACAGAGGAAGTGGGAGATGGAACCTGAGTAGTCACTGGCTGCAGCATCATTATCCAATGAACCCCCACAAAACATACAACAATAATTATCTATTATTTGTTAAAAGAAAATAATTACTCAAAACCCATTACGCTATCATTTTAAAACACTCACCTTTTGTGCGACGAAAGTTGTGGGGCTTAATTAAGCCAAAAAAAGAAATATTAAGCAATGTTTTGCCAAATAACTAACTGCCTTTAACAACTGCAATGTTTGGAAAACAAGACTCCAGGTTATCCATTAAACGATTTGGTTAAGGAATTTTCCTTTTATTTCGCTTTTTTCACGATTCTGCACATAACACTATCAAAATAAATACAATAAATTTTATACAATTTAGTTACACTTTTTTTAATTATTGTATCGTTGTTTGTCATCCACTCACACACACCTTTTATTTTGTCATATTCTCTTGTTTTTTTTTTCTGATGGGGGCACTTTCTAATTGGATTTGTTTTCTTGCCAGAGAGATATTTCCGTTTCTTATTTTCGTTTTCCAACACCTCACTTATACAAAAAATCGCAATTTATTTTCGCATGGCTGTATTATTAATTGATTTTGTTACATTTTACTGGTTAAATAAATATTTTAATTTATTTTTTTCGCAAAAGTACGAACGAACTAAACGAAACGACGTAGAAATAATTTTGACACTTGAGAGATGGGAGAGAGATATAAGTCGATTACATTTAGATAAATCGAAAAACATCGATTGTGATGTGAGTGTGAGAGAGAAGGGAGAGTAGAAACGGCCGGTAAGGCCGTATTTACACTATGGTTTGATGTTATAATATAGTTCACACGTTTAATAATGTGGATTTAAAAAAGAGATTTAAATGTGCATTTAAATAGTGAAGAATAAAGTGTTCCCAAATTTTGCCAAATTTGTGTAAGTATTTATTGTTTAATTAATAAAAACGAAGTATTTTCAAAATCTACGATTGTAAGAAACTTTTATTTCTGTATTTTTGCGAATCTATTTTACTTTATTACTGTACCATGGGTGTAACAAATCCAGTGACGTTAACCTGATGATTGTTTTCGGAAAGGTTAATGTTGACCTTTTTGGAAAGGTCAAAAGTCGGGTGGTGCCGACGATATGATACCCTACACCATTATTCGGATTTAGTTGAATATGAAAAAATCTATCTAATTTGGGCTGATATTACATAAATGGTGGGCAATAACCTAAAATCAGAGGTATTTCCGAGCTGTATCTGATGTTCGGTATCAATAAACCGAATCTTACCAATTTCAAGAGTGTTCGTCCTTGGGCCAAACAAATATCGTTGGCATCGTTACGTCTTTAAAGTGCTGCGAATAATAATGCAAGTGTGAATAATGAGCGCTACAGAGAGATGATCTCCAACTTTCTTTTCCCAAAATATAAGATCTTGACTTGGGAGAAAACTGCCAGTAAGAGATTTGTTTTCCATTTCTCTTCCCTTACCCCTCTCTCCAGCAAGAAGAGACGTGCCATAAGTAAATTTGCCCAATATAAATTCCGACTAAGAAATCGACTTAAATTTTCCAAAATTCCTTTGCATCGAAATCGATGTAAGAGTCGATTTCAACTTGATTCAGGTGAGAATACATAGGAGGACTTTTTGCCTGGCTCAAAGGTGAAAATACAGAAAACTCTTTGTTTCTAGCTTATTTGGCATTCTTAAAAAAATGCCTTTTATGTACTCTCACCAATGAGCTAATGAAAAGGCGTTTATGTATTCTCACCTTAGCTCTGAGGCTAAAGTCTTTTACGTTCAAATTTACTAATAAAAAATGCAAGAAGTTGTGTTTATTTGGTATTTTTTTTCTTGCATTGTTTAAACGACAGAAAAAAATTACAAAAAAATAACGAAACTTCGCAGATTTTCTTCCAATATTGATATAATATATACACACAGAATTTCTGTATATGTTTTGACATAACAAGGCAAAAAAAAATTGCAATTTTTATACTCTAGTACATGGTATCACATGCTCTAGTATCACATTTCACCATTTTAAAAATTAAATGAACAAAACCGTTTGTTTGATACATGTTCATTCTTTCCGAACTAGTGATCCCTACATTTGCCCACCAGCTGATTGCTGGCAAACCGAAAGTCGATTCATAGACACCTACATTCCATTGGCCAATATTTTTTGCCAATTTTGTTTTGATTCCTAATCTTTATTGGACATCTGCATTCTCTTCATGTTTCATGTGTTCTATACGACTGTCTGGCATCTCTTGGCACTCAAGGAGGAAAACAAGCTGCTGCACGTTTAGCCTAGGAATGTTAGACAATTTCTGTGGGACTAATGGAGGCAGTATTACCGAGCAGCCAACACAAAATGTTTGCCATTGGGATCCTACAGCTATACTTAGTGAACCGTATCTAGCTGCTGGCCAGGGACATGGATGTTTGGTGCTGAATCGCAATATTAAAAGTCCCTCACATGTGGTTAAGGCCTTATGGCAAAATGGTAAATAGAGACAACAGTTCAATTAAATTCAATCAACGTTATTTAACTTCTCGAACCGAATCGAGTTAACGAGTTGTTATGTAAACATAATTGTTGTTGTTCTTGAATTTAAATTTTGTAGCCTCTGTAAGATGTTGTGTGGACGGTGGTACAAACAAATGGCTTAATTTCATACGAAATGAATTACAAAATGATTGTAGTATTAAGCTGCCGGATTTGATAACGGGTGACTTTGATTCGATAAGTCAAGAAACAGAGGACTACTTCTCTTCGCGAGGGGTAAAACGAATCCATACACCCGATCAAAACAATACGGATTTTACAAAGGCTGTGGACGTTTTGAAACCAATTATCAGGGAGAAAAAGGTAAATAGCTTTGGATTAAAAAATATATCATGGATGTAATGTTGAGTTTGTTTTCATTTTCCAGCTGCGTGATATTATTGTACTACATGACACCTCGGGTCGTTTTGATCAAATCATGTCTAACATCAATACTTTGTTTACCAGAAATGATGAATTTTGCAATATCTACTTATTGGGTTCCTGTTCACTGACATGGCTTCTCCGGCCGGGGAAACATTCCATTGTTATACCTCCACATTTGGTGGAGGAGCAAAGGTGGTGTTCTCTCCTGCCCATTGGCCATGAGGCTACAAGTGTTACAACGAAGGGTTTAAAATGGAATTTAAGTGAGTGATGTGTTCTTTATTTCGGAGTCATCTATGGAAAGTTTCATTGCGAGATCTTTTTTTGAATTTTGAATGAAAAACAGAATTTGTGTCATACAGGGTGAGATAAAAAAACTGTAACAAATTCAAAGGCCATAATTTTACATTTTTTTAAATTTTATTGAATGAAAAAAAAATGTCGGAAATAATATCAAATTTTAGAATAAGTTTAGATTTGTTCGAATTGGACACCTTTGGCACGAATTATGGCCTTCAAAGGGCAAATGAAACTGTCACACCCCGCCCTAATGTTGCTCTGCGGTATTTTGGTTCATTACCGACAAAGCGCTTGCTTGAGATGATCGACACTTTGGTATTTTTTAGTGCCAGCCTTGCTTTCCAAAATACTCCAGACGTTGGACAAAGTAGTCCAACGACGGATTGATATTTGAAAATTTTGGTGGACATTTTGCGTTGGAAATGAAGCGAGGAATCTCATTTTGTAACCATTCTTTAACAGCTGTCGGACGAGTGGCTTAGAAATGACAGCAGTCTGAAATTGGTTGCAGTTTTTTTATCTCACCCTGTATTGTCCTCCTTGAAACATTTCATATATGAATTCCCAGTGTTTTTTTTTTTTATTATTTAAAAACTATTTCTTTTTAATTTTCCAGAGAATAGTCCCTCGTACTTTGGCGGCCTTGTTAGTACTTCAAATACATATGCCTCAACACACATAGAAATAGAAACAAATTCGACACTGGTTTGGTCAATGGGAGTATTTTATTTCGGGGATGACTAGACAAGGGAGAGAGAGAGAGGAAGAGGCAAGCGTCCAGTGAAACAAAATTAATTTTGTTGCATTTTTTAACAAAATTTAAATTTAAGCTTTATTTTTTCTTTGTCTTTCATCTCCATTCAGGGTTAGGGTAATGACATGATATATAGTTCTAAGATATTTTTCCTGTTTGTAAATGTTATTCTTACAATGGAGATGTAAATACTTAACCAAAATCCTTGTTACTTTCAAAAAAAAAAAAATGTTTTTGGATTTTTTTTTGTATTGTTATTTTGTAAATAATAGTTAGCTTTTGTTTTTAGCCAATATCAATGACACACCCCATCCATGACTACAATTTGTAGCTCGAATCAAATAGTTAAAGGTCTTTTTTCATCAAAAAGGTCAATGCAGAAAAGTCTTTATAATACTAGAATACTACTTAAATATCCCTCCCCCTTCCCCCTATTAAAAATCCAAAAACATGACTTGTACTGGTACTACTTTTTTTTCCTATGCTAGTATATAATAAGTCCTTTTATTGTATTTTTTATTTGGAACTGTTATGGTACTTATGTGTTTAAATATACGTACAATATAAATTTATTTATATTTTAAATAAAAAAAGTTATTTTTTATATTAAAATTTTAACCCTTTGTGGGGGAGGTACCGGAAGAAATGGTGCGATCTCTATCATTTTTACAACAGATCTTCTGTTGATGGAAAAATTGATATGTGTCAAGTCTGAATGGAATCGGAGGTTAATTTCGCGTTTTATGAGCTTCGTCGAAACTCCAAATTTTGACCCTTTGTGGGGAGGTACCAGAAGGAGTGGGCCGATACATTCCATCTTCACAGCAGAACTTGTATTAGTAGATGTGTGTAATTTGAAGAGAACCAGATGCTTACTTTGGATTTTATGATCGTTTTGGTTGTTCAAAATGTTAACCCTTTGTGAGGGAGATACGAGAAGGAATGGTCTGATCTCTACCATCTTTATAAAAGATGTTATGTTACTAGAAATATTGTGATGTGCCAAGTCTGAATGGAATCGGATGCTAATTTCGTGTTTTATGAGCTTCAAGAACACTCAAAATTTTGACCCATTGTTGGGGAGGTACCAGAAGGAGTAGACCGACATATTCTATCTTCACACCAGGCCTTGAACTAATAAAAATATTGTGATATGTGTAATTTGAAGAGAACCGGATGCTTATTTTGGATGTTATTATCGTTTTGGTTATTCGAAAAGTTAACTCTGTGTGGGGAAGGTACCAGAAGGAATGGTCCGATCTCTACCATCTTTACAACAGATCTTCTGTTGATGGAAATATTGAGATGTGCCAAATCTGAATGGAATCGGATATTAATTTGGTGTTTTATGAGCTTCTGAATATTCAAAATTGTCAACCTTTGTGGGGGAGGTACCAGAAGGAGTGGAGCGATATATTCCATCTTCACACCAGACCTTGGATTAATGAAAATATTGTGGTGTGTGTAATTTGAAGTAAATCGGATGCTTATTTCTGATTTTATGATCGTTTTGGTTGTTCAAAATGTTAAACCCTTGTGAGGGAGGTACGAGAAGGAATGGTCTGATCCATCATCCATCTTTATAAAAGATGTTATGTTACTAGAAATATTGAGATGTGCCAAGTCTGAAAGGTATCGGATGTTAATTTTCGATTTTATGAGCTTCATGAATATTCAAAATTTTCACCCTTTGTGGGGGAGGTACCAGAAGGATTGGGCCGATATATTTCTTCTTCACACCAGACCTTAAGCTAATAAAAATATTGTGATATGTGTAATTTAAAGAGAACCGGATGCTTATTTCTGATTTTATGATTGTTTTGATTATTCAAAATGTTAACCCTTTGTGGGAAAGGTGCTTGATCGGATTATCCTTTCACGGATTATCAAATCGGATACTCCCTTCGAGAGTTATTGTGTGCACCAGTTTGGACTAAGTCGGATACTCTCTTCGAGAGTTATCGTGCCCACCAGACAGACAGACGGACATCGCTAAATAGAATCTAAATGTCCTGAAACAGATTTGGTCCAAAGAGGCCTAGGGTCTAAAGTCATTATTTCGATGAGTCGCGTTTTGGCCGTATCAAATGATATATACCCTATGACTGAGAATATAAAAAATAAACAAAACGAATTTGAAATTACATTCGTGAAATATATCTTTAATCCAGTCCGACCTTTTCTCTTCGGACAGATTTTTTTAATTGAAACGCAAAGCAATTTATTTGTCCATGATAAAATTAAGAAGGTAAAATCATTTCAAATAAGCATTCCCATCTCTGTATTTTCTGTAATTTACCTTGTCACATTTCTCTAAAAAAACAAGTTCCCATCTTTACAAATTTTGACAATGAGATGTTGTCAATTGAATAATTTATGAAAAAATTATAAACATATGACTGCATATGAAATTATAAACATATTTATTCTACTATGGGGCATTCTTTAAAAAACAATAATTTACATGTTAGTTTGTCCCTGAGAAACAATTTTCAAAAACTCCAAAGTCAATGCTGTGACTCTAATTAAAAATATTTATTAAAATCCATTTCAAAATCTATTAAAAATAATAAAGAAAAATAATTTTAAATCAACGTTGAGATTGTTAGGCCTAACGTTCTATCGATAGTTTGTTTATCGATAACAGTACAGCCAATGCCTTTACTTTACCTGTACGTTACCTTACGTGTGCAATGGTTTGCAAAAAAAGACAAGACCAAACAAACACAATAATAAATAATAATAAATGTTTTGTTGAACAAAAAAGAAACAACAATAACAACCATAATAATTTTAATACACATCATTTCAACGGAGAGAACTGATTAAATCCTCTCTCTCTCTTTGACTTGGTTAAATGCCCCAGGGGAAAACAGAAGGCGGCATTAGCAGTAGTTTATTCTCAGTTTGTCTGCCGGGTTGTTTGGTTTGTTGGAGACTATTAACCAGTTGCTTCAACATTTTGCACATACGTTTTTGGAATTGGAATTAATCTTTATTAAGAAATTCCAGCTGTTTTCCCCGCTATACAAAACGAAAATGTTTAAAGTTTTAAGCTCATCAGTGAAATTGGGTGAGTTTTTTGTTGTTGTTAAAAGATAAAAACAGCCATCATTAATGGAAAGATAGAACACATATGGCCAAAGTCCACAATTATTAAAAATAGTTTGCTACTTAAGGTTGGAGGACAAAGGAAAGAAGGACATGTTGAAGGACATACGATTTGTTTGCTTAAGAAAATTCTTATTCAGTGACGTTTGTTTCGATGGGGGTCAAAGAACCTGTTGCCGTTGTTTTGGAATGTGTTGTAATTATTGTATTTTTTCCCTATTGCCATTAAAATAAGACATTTACATGCATATATATGTATCTGTGTACATATGCATCTAGTCAACCACCGTGGGAACGAATACATCATTTTGGCAAACAGAATTTCAGAGTCCATCCTGAATATTTAAGAAATATAGGGTACAAAAATTTTATTTATAAAATGTAAATATTCACAGGTTTGGTAACGCATCCAAACAAGTCATCAACAATTTGCTACATTGAATAAATAACCCATCGCGAGTTACTATGTACCTCCTCCATTGAGGTCAATCTAACAAGGAACCTTGTCTTAGGAAACCAACTTTAATCGTCATTGCGGGAAGTTAGACCAGTTACGCAAGAGATCTTCTAATTTATTTGCCATTCAACCGGCATTCATGCAGACGTTGGCATTCAACACACGTGTCATCCGAATTTCGCTACATAATAGCTTTTTAATTGGGCCTGAATTAAATTTTTGCGAATAATTCCCAATTTTTGGGGATCAAAGAAATCTGTTCTATAGGAAATCTACCGGATAAGAGAAGTATAACAGGATATCGTGAAGTTTTTAATAGAAAATGGTGAGGAACAAATACTGGAAGAGACAATTCTGTGGATAAATTTGTTAATAGAAAATGTTGTAGATCAAAATATTGTCGACATAAAATTTAGAGAGATTCCAATATTTTTGGGAAAACGTTGTGAAACATAAAATTTTCTATGGAAACCGTTTTGGATTGCAAGGAATGTCTGTGGATTTTAAAGGTATTCTATAGAAAATCTTGTGGATTACAATGGAAATGTTGTGGATTGCGTTGTAGGTGGTAATATTTTATAAAAAAAAAATAAGACTGGGAGTCATAAAACTATTGTGGATCGTAATTTTTTTCAGAGAAAATATTGTAGATCCCAAATTTTCCAAAGAAAATCTGGTGGAACGCAAGAATTTCCTGAGAAAATCTTGTGGATTGCAATATTTTCCAGAGAGAGTCTTGTGGAATGAAATTTCGTCTTGTGGAACGTAATATTTCCTATAAAAAATCTTGTGGAACGAAAAAATTTCCTCAGAAAATCTTGTGGAAGGCAATACTTTCTATAGAAAATCTTGTGGAACGCAAAATTTTCCAGATAAAGTTTGGTGGAAGGCATTATTTTCTATAGAAAATCTTGTGAAACTCATTATTTTCTATAGAAAATCTTGTGAAACTCATTATTTTCTATAGAAAATATTGTGGAAGGCATTATTTTCTATAGAAAATCTTGTAGAACGCAATATTTTCTATAGAAAATCTTGTGGAACGCAATATTTTCTATAGAAAATCGTGTGGAACGCATTAATTTCTATAGAAAATCTTGTGGAAGGCATTATTTTCTATAGAAAATCTTGTGGATCGCATTATTTTCTATAGAAAATCTTGTGGATCGCATTATTTTCTATAGAAAATCTTGTGGAAAGCATTATTTTCTATAGAAAATCTTGTGGAAAGCATTATTTTCTATAGAAAATCTTGTGGAAAGCATTATTTTCTATAGAAAATCTTGTGGATCGCATTATTTTCTATAGAAAATCTTGTGGATCGCATTATTTTCTATAGAAAATCTTGTGGATCGCATTATTTTCTATAGAAAATCTTGTGGATCGCATTATTTTCTATAGAAAATCTTGTGGATCGCATTATTTTCTATAGAAAATCTTGTGGAAGGCATTATTTTCTATAGAAAATCTTGTGAAAGGCATTATTTTCTATAGAAAATCTTGTGGAAGGCATTATTTTCTATAGAAAATCTTGTGGAAGGCATTATTTTCTATAGAAAATCATGTGGAAGGCATTATTTTCTATAGAAAATCTTGTGGAAGGCATTATTTTCTATAGAAAATCTTGTGGAAGGCATTATTTTCTATAGAAAATCTTGTGGAAGGCATTATTTTCTATAGAAAATCTTGTGGAAGGCATTATTTTCTATAGAAAATCTTGTGGAAGGCATTATTTTCTATAGAAAATCTTGTGGAAGGCATTATTTTCTATAGAAAATCTTGTGGAAGGCATTATTTTCTATAGAAAATCTTGTGGAAGGCAATATTTTCTATAGAAAATCTTGTGGAAGGCAATATTTTCTATAGAAAATCTTGTGGAAGGCAATATTTTCTATAGAAAATCTTGTGGAACGCAATATTTTCCAGCGAAAATTTTGTGGAACGCAATTTTTTCCAGCGAAAATTTTGTGGAACGCAATATTTTCCAGAGAAAATCTTGTGGAACGCAATATTTTCCAGAGAAAATCTTGTGGAACATGTTATTTTCTGTAAAAAATCCTGTGGAAGGCATTATTTTCTGTAGAAAACCTTGTGGATTGCAATGTTTTCTATAGAAAATCTTGTGGATTTCAATATTTTCCTGACAAAATCTTGTGGATCGCATCGTTTTCTTGTGGAAAATCTTGTGGATCGCATCGTTTTCCATAAAAAAATTTGTGAAAGGCATTATTTTCTACAGAAAATTTTGTGGAAGGCATTATTTTCTACAGAAAATCATGTGGAAGGCAACATTTTTCTGAGAAAATCTTGTGGAACGCAATATTCTCCTGAAAAAATCTTATGGATCGCATCGTTTTCTACAGAAAGTCTTGTGGATCGAAATATTTTCCAGAGAAAATCTTGCGGATCGCAATATTTTCCAGAGAATATTTTGTGAATCGCAACATTTTCCAGAGAAAATTTTGTGGAACCCAATATTTTCCAGAAAAAAATCTTGTGGAACGCAATATTTTCCAATGAAAACCTTAAGGTCTTGCAGAAATCTCGGGGACTAAAACCTAAATCCATGTTCTTATCTTCAATGGACATGTTGAAGATATAGAATATCGCCACACGATTTCAATATTTCAAATCAGATAAAATTTATCAGCACAGACGACCGACCTTATCTCACCATCCGACAATGGAAAATGTCTATGCCAGACAGTAATCGAACTATGTGGAAATTTTCCCTAGTTAAAAAAGTGTGCGGCTCTTATCAATTGAGTTATTGTGAAGTGATAATTAAGAATAAAGATGTGCGTAGCTAAATGGACAGATGTTATCTGGATTGAAGATGTTCCACCTTAGCTATAAATAGCCAATAGTATTAATAACTAGACAAAAATACTTTTGTAGATAACAAAATATTAATCAAGCTTTTTGTTGCTTTTTGTTTCAACAGGTTCCCACCTTCGCCGTCCCCTACAACAGCAGCTATGTGGCCGACACATTGCCTCGTTGTCGGCCTTGCCCGAAACGCATCAAATGTTGCAAAAGACATGCCGGGATTTTGCCAATTCCGAGCTGGTGCCCAATGCCGCCAAATGTGATCGTGAACATTTGTATCCCGAGCAACAAATTAAGAAAATGGGAGAATTGGGTCTAATGGCTGTGGCCATACCCGAGGAATTAGGTAATGCCGAAAATTTGCCTCCAAGAAAAAATAAATTTAATCCAACATTCATTACTTCTTCTTTTCCCCTTAGGTGGCACTGGTCTTGATTATCTGGCCTATGCTATTGCCATGGAAGAAGTCTCTCGGGGCTGTGCCTCGGCTGGTGTTATTATGTCGGTCAACAATTCTCTGTATTTGGGACCAATTGCTGCCTTTGGCAATGCCAAGCAAAAGGAAGAATTCATAACACCCTACACCACAGGCGATATTGTGGGTTGTTTTGCTCTGTCCGAACCCGGCAATGGCTCGGATGCAGGTGCTGCCTCTACCACGGCAGTTGAAAAGGGTGATCACTATGTTTTGAATGGTACCAAGGCCTGGATTACCAATGCTTATGAGGCCAAGGCAGCTGTGGTTTTTGCCACCACCGATAAGTCGTTGAAACACAAAGGTATTTCCGCCTTCATTGTACCCAAAGACACCAAGGGCTTTTCATTGGGCAAAAAAGAAGACAAACTGGGCATACGTGGCTCCTCCACCTGTCAATTAATATTCGAAGATTGTGTCATCCCCAAGGAGAATATTTTGGGAAAGCCGGGATACGGTTTTAAAATTGCCATGAAAACCTTGGATGCTGGTCGTATTGGTATTGCCGGTCAGGCTTTGGGTATTGCCCAAGCTTCATTGGAATTGGCTGTGGATTATTCGCAGAAGAGAATTGCTTTTGGTAAGCCCATATCAAAACTGCAAGCCATACAACAAAAAATCGCAGACATGGCATTGAGAGTTGAATCGGCTCGCTTGCTGACATGGCGTGCTGCCTGGTTAAAAGACAATGATAAGTCATACACCAAAGAAGCTGCTATGGCCAAGTTGGCCGCTTCCGAGGCGGCCACATTTTGCAGTCATCAATGCATTCAGGTTTTGGGCGGCATGGGTTATGTCTCCGACATGGCTGCTGAACGTTATTATCGTGATGCTCGCATTACTGAAATCTATGAGGGTACCTCGGAAGTTCAACGTTTGGTAACAGCTGGTGCCATTCTTAAGGAATATGCAGCCTAAGGAGGAGCAAATATTTGTTTTTATATGAGTGCCTTATTGCGAGTGCCTTATTTTGTTGAAAAAGGTTGATCCAAAACTGTTTTTTGTAATTTTTAAGCGAAATCAAAGATTTGAATGCATTTATATTGAAAGATCACCGGATAATAATGCCGTTTTTAGAACGTAAGAGAAAAGTAAAATGTAAATAAATTTTTTTATTCTAATTTTAAAAACATTTTTTTAATAACAGGATAGAAAATATTGTGGATAATAGGATTTTCTATAGAAAATATTGTCGATAACAGGATTTTCTATAGAAAATATTGTCGATAACAGGATTTTCTATAGAAAATATTGTCGATAACAGGATTTTCTATAGAAAATATTGTCGATAACAGAATTTTCTATAGAAAATATTGTCGATAACAGAATTTTCTATAGAAAATATTGTCGATAACAGAATTTTCTATAGAAAATATTGTCGATAACAGGATTTTCTATAGAAAATATTGTCGATAACAGGATTTTATATAGAAAATATTGTCGTAACAAGTTTTCTTATAGAAAATATTGTCGGTAACAAGTTTTTTTTATAGAAAATATTATCGATAACAGGATTTTCTATAGAAAATATTGTCGATAATAGGATTTTCTATAAAAAATATTGTCGATAACAAGATTTTCAATAGAAAATATTGTCGATAACAAGATTTTCAATAGAAAATATTGTCGATAACAAGATTTTCTATAGAAAATATTGTCGATAACAAGCTCGATATTTCCTGTTACAAGATTTTCTATCAGAAATATTGTCGAAAACAGAATTTTCTTTAGAAAATATTGTCGATAAAACGATTTTCTATAGAAAATATTGTCGATAAAAGGATTTTCTATAGAAAATATTGTCGATAAAAGGATTTTCTATAGAAAATATTGTCGATAACAAGATTTTCTATCGGAAATATTGTCGAAAGCAGGGTTTTCCATAGAAAATATTGCCGATAACAGTATTTCCCATAGAAAATATTGTCGATAAAACGATTTTCTATAGAAAATATTGCCGATAAAAGGATTTTCTATAGAAAATATTGTCGATAAAAGGATTTTCTATAGAAAATATTGTCGATAAAAGGATTTTCTATAGAAAATATTGTCGATAACAACATTTTCTATAGAAAATCTTATCGATAACAAGATTATCTATAGAAAATATAGTCGATAACAAGATTTTCTATGGAAACTATTGTCGATAACATGATTTTCCACAGAAAATGTTGTCGGTAACAGGGTTTTCTAGAGAAAATATTGTCGATAACGAGATTTTCTATAGAAAGTATTTGTCGATAACAGAATTTTCTATTAGAATATATTGTCGATAACATATTTTTTTATGGAAAATATGGTTGACAACATGATTTTCCGGTTAAAATATTGTAGACAACTAGGTTAACAATAGAAAATATTGTCGATAACTGGATTTTTCGATTAAAAATAGGGTCGATAACAAATTTTTATCAATGAAAAGTACTTTTCGTTCTGCTAATTCTTTGCAGACAACTTTTTTCATTATTAGGATTTACTAACGATTACCACAATTAAAGCTACAAAATCTACAGCATACTTTCAGGCTTGTATGATTCATATATAAAATAGAAGTGGCAACTCATATGAAAGAATGAGGGTGTAAGAAGGAACCAACTAATACAAAATTTAACTTACACACACCTTCTTCTATGTTATAATACTGGCGATCAGTTAACAAGATCGTCAGGCCAATAGTGAACATAATTTTTTTTTGTACCTCAAAACTAGAATATAAATAACCATGTTGAAATTATTGAGATCATCCACCGCTATTGGTATGTAAAAAAGGAATATATTCAAATTGATGTGCAATTTTAAACGTCAAAATACAAAGTTCAGTCACTAATATTGCAAAAGAAAAAAAAACAAAAATGTAAACACTTTGTATTGTGGCCACACGCAATCACATTCGTACACACATTCAAACACTTATGTATGTGCATAAATAAGCTTGCGTGAATATTCAATAGATAAAGAATATTTACCTTTGTGATAAGAATGCTAATTTTATTAAAAAAAAAAACATTTTGTTGCTAATATTTAAAATGCAACAAGTGTAAAATAAACTTTTATTGATAAAAAAGAACTGTCATTTACATTACCGTTACAATCAAAATGTTTACATGAACCGTACCGATTGCTCTCTTAAAGTGATCTCCAAATCATTTGTTGAAATTGAGAATATTTCTATTATTATTATTTTTATTTGCATTCTTGTTCATGACCCCAATCTATATTTTATGAGCTTACTTTTAAAATTGATAAGGCCAAAATAAAATAACTATTGCCGATAGAAAGAATAGTAAACAAATAATGAAAAAAGCATTTAAAAAAATTTTCATTTTGCATATGGTTAAAAAAGGATTGTTATCGGAAATTGTATTTATTGAAAATAGATTTTTTTTTATGGAAAACATTTTTATAGAAAGGGTTTTTATAAAAATAAATATATCAACATTATTGTTAATAGATAGTCTGTTCCAGGACTGCAAGAATGTAAATTTATCGAATAAATAAATAAATAAATTTTTACCGATTTTTTTTTGCAAAAACTATTGGCATCAACAAAAATGTTTATAGAAAATAAGGTTATCGGCAACAATTTCTGTAACAAATATTGTTTATCTACAATTTTGGCTAAAGAAAATATTGTTATTGACAAGATTTTCCATAGAAATATTTAGATATATATCTTGTTATCGGAAATATTTTTTAATAGGAAATCTTGTTATCTTCAACAAATTGTCTGTAGAAATTCTGTTATCGACAATATTTTCTTTAGAAAATCCTGTTATCGACAATATTTTCTATAGAAAATCCTGTTATCGACAATATTTTCTATAGAAAATCCTGTTATCGACAATATTTTCTATAGAAAATCCTGTTATCGACAATATTTTCTTTAGAAAATCCTGTTATCGACAATATTTTCTTTAGAAAATCCTGTTATCGACAATATTTTCTTTAGAAAATCCTGTTATCGACAATATTTTCTTCAGAAAATCCTGTTATCGACAATATTTTCTTTAGAAAATCCTGTTATCGACAATATTTTCTATAGAAAATCCTGTTATCGACAATATTTTCTTTAGAAAATCCTGTTATCGACAATATTTTCTATAAAAAATCTTGTTATCGACAATATTTTCTATAGAAAATCCTGTTATCGACAATATTTTCTATAGAAAATCCTGTTATCGACAATATTTTCTATAGAAAATCGTGTTATCGACAATATTTTCTATAGAAAATCGTGTTATCGACAATATTTTCTATAGAAAATCATGTTATCGTCTCTATTTTTTGTAGAAAATCTTGTTATCGATCATTTTGACATTTCCGCAGTTCTGGAACAGAACCGCAAAATTTACTGTGACATTCTTGCTCAGCCCATTTAAAATATTTTTTCTAGGACTCCGTCTGCAACAGCAAACAACCCAACAGCTAAAATGCCGTAATATTGCCTGCCTATCAGCTTTACCCGATACCTATCAGATGTTGCAGAAGACGTGTCGGGACTTTGCCGATGCCGAATTGGTACCGAATGCCGCAACATTCGATCGGGAGCGTCTATATCCAGAAGAACAGATTAAGAAAATGGGTGAATTGGGTGTCATGGCCGTTGCGGTGCCAGAGGAATATGGTAAATAAGATAACTCCTAAATGTTCTCATATATATTTTATTAATAACTTATATTCTATGTGATCTAGGTGGTCCTGGTTTAGATTATTTGGCCTATGCCATTGCCATGGAAGAAATCTCAAGGGGATCTGCATCCGCGGGTGTTATTATGGGTGTAAATAATTTGTATTTGGGCGCCGTTTTAAACTTTGGAACGGAGGAACAGAAAAAGAAATACATCCCGCCATATACAACGGGCGAACAGATAGCTTGTTTCCAATTATCTGAACCTGGCAATGGTTCCGATGCTGGTGCCGCATCCACAACGGCTGTTAAGAAGGGTGATCATTATGTTTTGAACGGCACTAAAGCATGGATCACCAATGCCTATCAGGCCGGCATTGCCGTTGTGTTTGCCTCTACCGATAAGTCACTTAAAAATAAGGGTATTACAGCATTTCTGGTACCCATGGATACGGAAGGTATTTCCCGAGGCAAGAAAGAAGATAAAATGGGTATGCGTGGCTCATCGACGAGCCAGGTGATCTTCGAGGATGTGCTGGTGCCAAAGGAGAATATTTTGGGCGGTCTGGGTTCGGGCTTTAAAATTGCCATGAAATCTTTGGATGGCGGTCGTGTGGGAATTGCTGGTCAGGGTTTGGGTATTGCCCAAGCCTCGCTGGAATTGGCCGTGGATTATTCACAAAAGAGAATTGCCTTCGGTAAACCCATATCAAAGTTGCAGGCTATACAACAAAAAATTGCCGACATGGCACTGAGAATTGAAGCATCACGTCTGCTGGCTTGGCGCGCCGCTTGGTTGAAAGACAATGACAAACCCTATACCAAAGAGGCTGCCATGGCCAAACTATCTGCTACCGAAGCGGCCACATTTTGCAGTCATCAATGCATTCAGGTTTTGGGTGGCATGGGCTATGTCAGCGATATGCCAGCTGAACGTTATTATCGTGATGCTCGTGTTACGGAAATCTATGAGGGTACATCGGAAATTCAACGTTTGGTCATTGCTGGACAGATTTTGAAGGAATATGCAGCTTGAGAGGGGATGTGTGTTATTGGGAATAATTGGAGATCTTTTTTTTTTGACTGAACCTGGAATATGTGCATTTAAATATTTGTTTATTTTTTTGGTCAGTTTACTACTTAATTTAGTTTTTAAGACGTGTTATTTTTTGTTGTGGTTTAATTTTAAAAACAATAATTTAAATAAAATTTTAAATAAATTGTTATTGCAAACATGACACAATCATTTTAAGGTCGAGTAGGTTTATGGTAGAATTAAGAAGGTAAAATTAAGCAATCATTGCTCTGCTCCACAATCTGCAATAATCTTCTAGTTATGATGCTTTGCCGATATCATAAAGGGTAATCGGTTATCGTAGTGAAACCTTTTATATATTCTTGCAGTTCAGGAACAGACCATTATTTAAGAATCATCTCAATTCTTCCTTCTGTTGATATGTCAAAATTTTTTAAATGTTCCTTCAAATATAAGTAGATTTGTATATGTTTTCCTATACGACGCCAATCGGAGGTTGTTATGATATGCATTTTTTAGCAATTTTTACAAATTTGAATAATTTTCCATTCAAAAATTTTAATTGCAAAATTGGTTTGATAGGTCATTGCCGCAGCAGCTGTGTCGATGCGTCTAACTTTGTTCTTCTACCATGTATGATGTGTAAACTAGTCTTTGCCATCATAAAAAATCGACTACTCTCAAGTTTCTCCAAACCTACCTCTGAATCCCTAATCACTTCCATCGATTTCACGATAAGTTGAAAAGTCGACCTAGTGAACCCTGCAATTATTGTCCTGGCAAGAAATCGAAAAAATAAATTGCATACAAGAGGCGGAGAAGTGCAAAAATGTAAAGAAAAAACGTACAAAAAATAAAATAATTGCATTTCATCGCTACCATTTATTAAATATTGCATACAAAACGCCGTGTGTAGTGTTGAAAACAAATCGGGAAAAAAGTAAAAGAAATTCTCAAAGAAACCAATCAACATCATTTTTTCCCCCAACATATCGTAGGGAGAAAAAAATGTAAAGAAAAACATATAAAACACAGAGTGTAAAATAAAAAAGTAACAAAAAAATAAAAGTATATAAAAGAGAGTGCCCGTGAGAGAGTAAAGCCCATATTTTTTTTGTGAGGCAAGCAGCCATAACAAACAAAAAGCAAGAGAAGTAAGTGTGCAGCAGCAGCAGCGACAGCAAAAAGAAAACAACAAAACATTAACAAAATAAAAGTAATACTTCTACTACTACTTCTCTTCTCTTGGAAGTACACAAAACAAGAAAATAATGAAATTAAGTTTATTTTGTTTTCAAGTGGCTTTTATTTCGTTGAATGTGAACGAACAGCAGTAGTATAACCGCGTCGTCGTCGTTGTCCGTCGGTGGTGGGTGAGTGCGAATGTGTTGCTGTGCGTTTTTTATTTATAAAAAAAATAACAATTAACAAAAAATTTAATTCCCTTAATTATCGAAAAGAAAAAACATTGTTAATAATCATTAATTAGGAAACGAATCCAAGATATTTTTATTGTGAAGCCAAAAAAAAAAACTTGTTAACAAAAGAAAAAAAAAATACCAAAACAACAAAGGTAATTTGGCTGGCCAGTGACAAAAGACAAAAACTAAAAACCACTTTTCTATAAATTGAAATTGCTCCATTTATTGTACAATGACCGACCAACCGACCGGTGTGTTTGTGTGTGCCTTGCCTTGTTTTTTTATTTGTCAGCCAAGTGTTTTCCTTTTTTTTGGCAAAGGGGGCGTCTTTGTAGTAGATCCTCTAATAAAACAAGATTTGGATTACTTATTTTCCATAGGCCACCATTAGAGGATTACTTTGTTGTGCCTGCCTTTTTGTTTTTTTTTTTTTTCATTGGAAAAAAGTTATGGTGGCAATTTTTCATTTCTTCACTATTTGCCTCGTTTTTTTCTGTGTTTTTCTTCTGGTTCTGTTGTGTTGTTGTGTGTGGTAATTGGTTTCTTGGTTTGGAGTTTGAAAATCTCTGCCATAATTAACCCGTTTTGAAGTTGTGTGTTTAAGTGGCTACCAAAATTATATCACACTTGTTTCTAAAGTGAAATAAAATGCCAACGATTTTGTAATCCTTGTTTTTTTTTTTTCAAAGAAAATCTTGCTTGCTTGCTTTGGTTTGTTACAGTTTAGTTTTCCACCATAAAAGGCAAGCAAACAAAACATTGTTTTCTTTTTAATGCCATAATTCTCAATTTAACGTTGGTGTGAGTGTGAGAGAGAGACAAGGGAGCTTAACTCTCAGCCAACACACTGAGTTAATCGGCTCTTTGATTGTTACGGTGTATTTTCATGATTTGCTTGACATTTGACATCTTGTTCGATTCTGTTTCATAGGGGGACTTTGATGGTAGCATCCAACCATGCATTGTTGTTATTGCAATCTTTATCACAAAAAATCATTGTATTTTGTTAACCCGTGACCTACCCCACAAACATTTCTTGAATATAAAAACACCTCTCTGTCACCGGCACTTTTATTTATGTTTTTCTTATCAATCACACACACACACACACACAAGCATGGTCATAAAAACCCCATTGGAATCGTGCTGCCACCACTGTTGGTAATTACCATTGATGCGTGGACGAACGTAACATCAAGTAATTTATATCGCCCTGCTTTATAAAAAAACCAAAACTATGTAGGTAACATTCACAATAATAACATTGTCATTCCATTTCTAAAATCCATTAGGCGTAACAAAATTCCACAGCTGTAAAGCGAAACAGGTATGTGGGTGCTGGTTATTTCTTCCGGTTTTGTTTGGAATTTGTTCCAGTATGGATTTCATTAAAACTAAACCGGGAAGTAATAGAGGTATTAAGCCTACTTCCAAAGGGGTGATTTTAAAGAAATTTAGGAATTACTCAACTAAGAAACCTGCTGGTCCATTGTGTTCATCCTAAATTTGTGAAAATAGGCATAGACAGAAATAAAGAAAGAAAGAAAGAAAATGATTTGAAATCCAGGAATGGTTGGTTGGTTTACGGATGCGCAGCTACAAGAATTCGGCAACTGCTTCACTCGGAGATCTTTGGTCCATTGTCTTCATCCTAGGAAGAAATGAAAATTTTTAAGGATAGCAGCGAGAAGGAAAAAAAGATTTTTTGGAGAGAAGTGTAGATGGGAGGGTGGTCTGCCTTTGGCAAACTTGTGAATGATGATGGGATCTCCCAACTGCCAAATACCCTATATCTCTTGTTGGATAACATGGTCCATTGACAAGTAGATGTTCGATCGTCTCTCTCTACCTCTTCTTTATCTTCACATAGCCTATAGTAGTCAGGAACACTGTTGTCCCATCTTGAGGTCAGAAATTTGATACTGCAGTGACCAGTCAGTATTCCCACAACGATTCTAAGTTTAGACCTACTAAGTGATAGAAGGAAGCTTATTAACAGTCTCATTAATCGGTATATCAATCTAAGCTTATTCATCAGCTACGTTTTTCCTTACTATATTGCTATGTCCAGGAACTATTAATTGTATTACCTTCATCCAATATATTCCGACATACCAAATGTCTAGGATTTCCTAGACATACCAACTGTCCATAACCAAAACTTGAAGAGCGGCGCCATCCCCAAGCTTCGTGCTGTCTCAGTGCACTTCTTGTTGCTTGGAATTGAGCCAAAATATCCCGGGGCTGTAAATTTTGCAGCACATTCAAGTCAAACTGGGGAATGCTTTTGAGAGCTCTAGTTGTCAGTACGAACGCGGTTCTGTGCACTGTGGTTAATTTGGACATGAGTTGCGCTCTCTGAATTCTAGCCACGGTTAAGAAAAGTGAGGCGTTCAAGGTTATGAAAACGGGCGATGGGTGGGTGACATATGTAAAAGCTTGAACCCCTATCTCGCGGAGCTTGCCGCATACTTCCACGCGAGGAATATGAAAATATCCGCCACGGAATCAACGGTCACACTCCACCATATGGTGAGAACACAGCTCTAGGCAGGTCGAAGAAAATTTAATACCGACCACGAACTACCCCAAGATTCTAGGGGTCACATTCGACAGCATGTTCATGACGTCCGCGCAAGCCAAAGCTATCTGCGATAAGATGAAAAGTAGAAACAAGGTCCTCAAAGTGCTAGCCGGCAGCATTTGATGTGCGGACAAGGAAACCTTGTTGACCTCTTATAACGCCATAGGTCGATCTGTGGTCTTGTATGTGGCTCCAGTGTGGTCTGCGAATACTAGTGCTACGCAGTGGAATCATATCCAGACCTGCCAGAATGCTGCCTTGCGTCAGCATAATCATATGCTTTCGTTGCAGTACCTGCTTGGGTCTTACCGTAAGAATCATCCCAACCATCATAAGGTTGACACAATTCCCACCCATACACGATCTAGAGAGCGAGGTCCAATGGAGAACCTCTAGATCAAGAAGCCTATCAGGCAGGTCTGAGTGGCATTCATACCGATGCAGTCGAAGATGCCATCAGCAATTACAGGATGAATCTCGTCCTTATTGTCCACCCCCCCATCCATTGCAGCTGAAAACCGCCAACTGCCTAGACAAACCAGACTAGTTTTGGCGCAATTACGTTCAGGAATTGACGAAGATATGTGTGATGTATGCCCGGCGTGTGATACAGGCCCGCACAATACGCTGCACCTCTTTAATTGCACAGCCAAACCTAACCAAATCACTCCAGAAGATCTCTGGCTATAACCTGTTAAAGAAGCCTGGAGCTTGAACCAGATTAGCAGAATGCAAACACTCACATGTACTACTGCTACAATAACAACAACGCTCATTTGCTAACCTCTGCTGGGAAATTTGGTTTTATCTCGGGCATTCGTCCAGCAGGTATATAGCGAACGGTTGCAGCTTTAAAGATTTTTCGGAAAATCCTTTCTGCTACCCGTATATCAGAAGGTCTGGGCAGTTCTCTGAAGCGACAGATGGTGAATTTTCTGAACTCTGGCCTGTGAACTTTCCCATGGTTAAGGAAAGTGCGGCGTTCAGAGGTTATGAAATCGGAGGACCTGCTTATGGAAACGATTGTCGGGAGAGAAAGAGAAATGACGTCATTTATCGGACCGGATGACACTATGGTTAAATCTGGCGAACAGTGACATCCTCCTCTTATTCGGGTGGGGGCATCCTCGTTTACCGTGCAGAATGTGGAGCAATCAATCTGTTTTTCCAACGCTGATCGCCTCTGCTCATTACTCAGGGCGGAATGCCGCAATTCATGGTGGGCATTGAAATCCCTAGAACCAGACGGTTATTGCCTTCCAAAGCGGGCTAATGTTTGCGGATCACGACACATTAAGCACCTCTACTTCGACAGTTCCACACTTGACTGCTACACCCATAGTACGCTATGTGTGGGCCACTAGAGATTGGCTCAGTTGAGATAGGTATTTATTGCTTAGTATTATGTAACGCCAATCCCCCACCTACACTACATGATCTAGAGAGAAAGGTACATAGGTATAAGGGAGAGCCTCTAGATCAACAGGTCTATCAAGCGGAACGGAATAATATTCACTCTAACGTCGTCTCAGAAGTCATGGCAGGATATAGAGTGAATACTGTACTAGGATAGAGAGCGGCCCCGACAAACCCGAGTAGTTTTGGCTCCGTTAAGGTCCGGATGGTGCATCCGCCTCAATTCCTATTGGGCCCGGATTGACAGCGATGTCAGCCAAACTTACTCACTTAACTCCAGCCTCGTTGTGGACCCAACCCATACAGGTTGCATTCTTTTTGAGACTGGACTTAGAGACAGAACCAGATTGGGAGGAGTCAGAACGAACACAACAGTATGTGCTGCTAAAACAACAACAAACTTTACTTCTGGGATCCTTCCTCAATCAGAAGAACATTGTAGACTACAATTTTCATTGAGCTTGGTTTCCTGCACCACAGCGATCAATATATTCCTCCAATTCATAAAGCCAATATCTCATTTATTTTGCTTCGAAGTCCGTGTCAATTTTATTTTGCGTATCATTTGTTTAACATAACATTATTTTCTTTCGCTCTATAATAAAAAAAAATACTTTCAAAATAGAACATTAAAGTGTATAAATAAAAATTATAACATTTAATTATCTTCCGCATTTGTTTTCGAGTAGTACTTCAATTTGAAGTGGTGCTTCGTGTTTACTATTTGGATACATAAAAGTGGATTTGAAGTACAATATCTTCGCCCTCCCTCCCATATTGGCTTTTGAAAATGTTAACATGTTTCTTCTTGGTTGAATACTTAAAGATCAACGATTTGGATGGATGGTTAGCTTCTACAAAATCCACTTATCATTGTTGTTATTATTATGATGTGTTGTGTTGTGATGTCCCTTTAAAAAAATAGAAAAAATGTAAATTAACTTGAAAATATGTTTACCATCTTGATTCCAC